ACAACAACAACAACAACAACAACAACAACAACAACAACAACAACAACAACAACGAAAAAGGCACTTTCAGCGTTCTTTTTTTTTTTAGAAAAGTAGAAATTTTAATGAGAAAACGTTGTAAATAATTTATCATTGCACAATTAGGGCAAAACTGAATATGAAAAGAATTTCAAATAAAACTATAAAAATAGAAAGCATATGTCTAATTTGATGAAAAGATTATCTGATAGAAAGAGGATTGTAAAGTACAGCACACTTAGTGAGTTTATTAAGTACACGTATTAAACTCCGTGGCAGAATATACACATCTTTGGCACGATGTTAAATTTTGCCACTTGGTTGCTAAAGTCGTGAGAGCAAGACAGACAGAAGTAACAAGGGGAAAGAAAAGAAGTAGGACTCTACCAGAGAGGGATACAATATCCCACCAGAAAGACAGATATTCGATAAAAATTCTTCCCATTCGAGAATCGAACTCGTGTGCAACAGCGAAGTGCCCAACAGTTACACCACAGACGCTGGTATCAGCCAAAAACAAAGAGACAAAACTGAAAGGGGAAAAAAAACCCCGGACAAAAGAGCAAAGCAAGGTTTTAGAAAAACTTCATCCGATACGAAAAATACCAACCAAATAATAAATTATGATAAAGCAATTTAGGTTATTTTCTAGGAGCTAGAAAGTGCACATTTTAACAAGAGCAAAAATGAATTGACTTCATACAATGAATACATTTTAGACATACGTAATTGTATAGAGGATAAAGAGAACACAACAACACTAATCATCCGATTTAACAAACAAACAAAAAAAAAAGAAAAAAGAAAAAAGAAAAAAGAAAAAAAAAAAGAGCAGAGATAACATAATTCCTGCTAAACGGTCTCAAGTACCCTCTCCCCACCCAAAAAAACCCACACAAAAACCCCTCCATTCTAAGCCAGCTTCTACACACGTACACGAACAAGTTCACGTTATGCTTATAATGCAGACGGAATATAGGCACTATATTACGCCCAATAATGCCTCACAGAACACATTCAGTAGCCTTCGAAATTCAGGTCAATAACCCCCCCACAACC